TAATGTCCTCCAGGGTCACCCACTTTGAATAATATTGCCTGAGTTCCTTGTTTTTCAATGCTGTGTAGTATTCCATTGTGTGGATATACCACAGCTTCTCTATCCATTCGTTTGTTGATGGGCCCTTAGGCTGCTTCCAACTCTTTGCTATTGTAAACAAAGCTGCAATAAACACGGGTGTTAAGGTGAGAGTTTTAAGATTGAAAACTTAAGTGTGTATTATTAATAGGCTGGAAATTAATGTCAACTAGCATTTAAAGCTTGCCACACACCCTGTAGGGTAGGCGTCCAACCATCAAGTAACCCTTTCTGACGTTTATCATTGATAAAAGCCTCAAAGTCTCCGGGGTGATAGGCTGTTTTCTCCATCGGCTTGTATGGGAACTGGCACAAAGCCCAGTATTAACGTGCTCTGTAGCCCGAAGGTTGACAGCTGACCTAGGACTCTAGAAGAACAACTTTCCAGACGCACTTTTTCTACCCGCAACTCCTCAACCTTTGCCTTTCCCACAGTAGGAGCGATTTAAGTGTTGGTGTTTTTCTTTCAGAGAGACTCTGCACGGCAGGCTTTAAAAGAGAAAGACAGGAAGACTAAGAATTTTGGGGTTGGTAAGAGCCATAATCAGCGGCAGGACACCTCCGAGAAGCGTCGAGGAACAGGCGGTATCAGTCACCGCAGACACAAACACGCTCACGCCAACCGCTCGGCTCGCCCGCCCCAACTGCCCGCCCTGGCCCCGACACGTGACGCGGAGCGGCGCGCTCCGGCCGCGGCTCTGATTGGTGGACGTGCCAGCGTGAGGTTTGATGGGAAGGAGTTGGCCCGGCCCGTCGCTCTGTCAGTGGCTGCGGCTGCCTGTTCGGGAGGCTGGCTGCGCGGTGGCTGCCGAGGCTGGCAGGGGGCACGTCAGCGCCGGGCATAGCCCGCTTCTCGCAGGTACAGTGCTCAGTTGGGAGGGTTTGGCGGGGGGGAGGCACCCTCAGCTTACTCCTGGGACACATGCTCCCAGTTCTCCTGTTTGCCTCTCCCGGGTACCCCGCCCCACAATCGAGTGGCCTAATAGCTTGTGGCGGCTGCTATTCAATTCCCGCGGTGGCCCGCGCTGATCCATCCACGCCGGCTCGTCGCTTTGATTTCCCAGCACAATGGGAGGATAGCCCTGGAGCTCTAGCGACCCTTCTTATCCTTCCTGGGTGGTGTTTTCCCAGCCCTGTCTTGGAGCTCCCTGAGACTGACTAGATTTGAGTTGAGCATCTGTGTCGAGGCGATGGGTAGGGAGATTCCTCACTAACAGATTCTATGCCATGTAGTCATCCTGGGTGCCCTAGACACTTCTTATTCAGAGTTATGCGTAGGCGCCACAAATTGGAAAGATCCAGAGGCACTGAAAACTGTCAGTGTCATGCTGCTCGCCTTTGGTGTGTGGGCGTGGATTAATGCTGGTTAGAGAAGTATTTCTGCAATTAATTTGAGGGAAAGTGAACAGTGTGAGGGGTGGAGAAAAAGGCAAGGATGTGTAGGTGTGGCAAGAAAGGAGCAAAAATTACGCTAGATAGTTCTTCAAGACGGTGGCAATGGAGAGTTGGGATTGGTGAACTCAATTTTGCTGTTGGTGTTCTTACAGTAGAAAGAGCTGTGACTCACTGTTGTTTGACTGCCTGTGGTTCCCAGTGTCTTGTTTCTTCTTTTTCTGGCCTGGGTGTTAACCATTGACAACACTGACCATGAACAGCAGCTTCAGGCGTGTGTTCAAACTGTTGGGGAGTGCTAATCCCTTGTCCTCAGCAGAACCCATAGTTCATTTCTTGGAGGACCAAGTTGATTTTGATCACATGTTCTTAAAGCAAGAGTCGTGCTTTTCCAGTTAGAATTGTAAAGTTTTCTGTCATCTATTGAAATCAGCCCAGTAATGTTTTAAAGTGTTGCTCTGTTATTGACTTGGAGATGAATATAAAGGAAGACGTCATATGACGATTAAACAGGCTTGGTTGTAAATAGGAATCTTAGTAAGTAGTATTTAGAGTAAAAATTTACAATTAATCAAGAACTTTATTTTTAGGCAATAAATGTGGTGGCTTGGGATAGTTAGGAATCATTCTTTTTCAATAAGAACATTTGAGAGTTTATAATAAATTACCTTTAATCTTGAGTGGTGTAATATGAATGTACTACTGTTGGTAATTGAATATTTTCCTCTTATGCTTCACGCTTGTCAAATTAAGCATATAATGAAACTTCTTTTGCTCTTTCCCCTCCAAAGCACACAAGTTTTCTTTTAGTTGATGACTCTATGTTTTATATTAGAGAAGATGAGAATAATGCCATTTCAATTAAACTATCAACTGTGATTTTACTTCTCAGTTTTAAAATTATGAAACAAGTGCTTTTTAAAAAGAGGTTGAAAGAGATGTGTTTTCCATAAGAAGCCTTTGTCTGTACTTAACCTGTGTCTTGTTCATAATAATACCAATAGCTATCATTTATCAGACATTTACTGATGGACCTGGCTAAGTAATGTATAATTTTATCTGTATTGTCATCATTTTGCAGATGTTGAAACTGTGGTTTAAAGTATTTAAGTAATGTGCCTAGATCAGGTATATGATGGAACCATACTTTGAATCCAAACCTATTTTACTCCAAAACCAGACTTTATTTGGCTGTTGTTTTAATGTGAACTGAATATTTATTTAAGAGTAATGGTCCCTGAGATTTTAAATTCTTATACTCAAACCGGAGCATGAATAACAGTTAATAGAAAACATTCAGATAACATAGTGGGCTTTTTTAGATGTACCCAGCTCTTAAGGTCATGGCAAATACCACTGTGATGTCAGAGTGGAAAGAGACTCTCACTTGTACATGCTCATAGAAGAGTTCTTGGGGACAAGCCACTTGATAGTGAGCCATCACTATACTCAAGGCCAAGCAAATTGTTCTGTGCTTTACAGAAGGAATGCTAGAGTGGTTTCTTGTATGCTTATCAGATGTTCAAAAAGAAGCAGAGATGAGTTGGAAAAAAAGATAATGACTTGTATTGAAGAATTATCTGTCAGTTGCTATGGTAAATACTCCAGAATACAGTGAGTCATTTAAGCCTTTCAACATGTAGAAGGTATTTTAACTCTTTTACAGATGAGGACATTGAATCACACAGGGGCTAAGTAACTTGTTTGCCCAAAATTTCATAATACATAGTGAGCCGTAGCACTTGGATGGAAAAAGAAGGAACTGTAGCTGAGCTTAGAAGATATATGCAGTTGAAAGGGTGGAGAAACAGTTGGTGTTACTTTGTTTTCATATCTGTTGCGAAGTACCACCCCATTATATATGTATTATAATGTAACACATACCAGAAATTGATGGAAAAACTATTACAACAGTGAGGGTTGGTTGTATTTTTATTATGACTCTGTAAACGTGGGTATAGTATTTTCCTAATTTCTCTAATCTTGCTATAGGGAACAGATTTGAAAGCATAATCTTTGACTTCAGGGATCTTAGAAGTAAACCATAGTTTGTTTCATTAACATCCAAACAGTTTTCCAAGTAAATACTTGATGTAAAAATTAGTATTATGATACTACATGTATACTTTGTTACTTTTAAAAGAAGTGACAGGCATTAAACCAGTAAAGGCAGTGCTTGTAGTGTTGTTATTGTTGTTGGGTGCCATAATGTCAGTGAGTATGACTCTTAGTGACCCCAGTAACAAATCTGAACACTGTCCTATCCTATACCATCCTCAACGTCTCTGACGAACTTGAGTGTATTGCCACAGTTGTTGTGCTAGTTCATGTGGTTGAGGGCCTTCCTCTTTATTGCTGACCCCCCAACCCCCTTTCCAAGCATGATGTCCCTTTCTAAGGATGTCCAGTGTATGTGAGAAGAAGCTTTACCATCCTTGCCTTTAAAGAACTGTAGTATACTCTGACTGTACTGAGAAAGTACTGGACAATAAATCAGTTCTAAATGAAAATGTAATCAAATGAGGAATTAAGTTATGTGGTACACTACAAGTACACCATCTCTTAGAAGTCTCTTTCTACTTTAGAAACTCCGTTTACCAACTCTTGGAGAATGTCATAGGTACTTTTGTATATTTTTACCTAAGTATTCCAATCTACTCTATATAAAGCAAATTTCTAATTTGTGTATTGTTGGGTATGACTGCTTGCTCTGCCTTTTTCTAGTCAAAGTTAAATGCTAAGCTTTAATTTGTTACTTTATATATTTGAGACCTTAGCAACTATTTCACTTCTAATTTAAGTTAATGGGAGATTTATGCTATTATATTGTATGTACTAATAAAATAAATGTAAAATGTTTGTATTAAGACTCCTTAGAAGTAAGTAGTATCTTTGTTATTAATTTGAAATACAAAGAATTATTTTTATAGTTATAGATATTATAGTTATATACTTGGAGAGAGAAAATTATCCAAACAAAATGTATAGCTCAGTTGTATACAAAATACTGTTCTAGAGTTCTTTTTCTTCTTACCTTTCTTGGTGATTTATTATCCTACAGATGTTTTCAGGTCTACTTAATGTCTTGGCTCATAGAAGTTTTTATTTTTATTAATTAAAATCCCTGGAGTCTGTATTTTAAAAATTTGATATTGACCAATATTGGAGCATTATTAATATTTAGTTTACAATGTAAATAAGACTTGAGATATTCACTATCTTTGGAAATGTAAGGATTTTTAAAAATAGCTCTCTCTCTCTCTCTGTATATGTTGTTGTTAAGTACCATTGAGTTGGAAC